TGATAATTAGTGAAGGAAAAGTGTGATATTTATAGGTGTTTTTCAACACCTTTGGACGGGTACCCGACCGGGTATAGAGCCCACCCGACCGGGTACCGGTCAAAATCAAATATTTCCCATGTTCCGGTGTTCTTCAGCACGTTCGTTTGCCTTCGGTCAAAGGTCACCCGACCGGGTGAGATAGTTCACCCGACCGGGTGATGTAATTTCCGGGCAGCAGCAGTTGTTAAGTCTTACCCGACCGGGTGAAGACATCTACCCGGCCGGGTAAGTTCCATGGACAGTATTTCTTCATGTTTTCCCCCTTTTCCAACTCCTACAACTCTACCACTACTTTATAACTTAAATACAAGCTAAACACAATTATAAATACATTCAAACAAATGCTTGCAAACTACATAACAATGGTAAACAAACAACACAAAATAAACATAAAAACAAACATTTATGCATTACTAACTACGGAGTATTTCATATCAGTTTACTCAATATGATAGTACTACTTAACTAGTTTGTGAACATATAGATACTTCCATATCATATTTGACTTTAATTTGCATCTCATATTTTATTTCATTTTATTTATACTTTTCTCCCCTTAATGTGTTTCTTTTTGTTGGAATTTTTTCTTAGGCACAACTAAACGTATTTATCTTTTTTTACTGTACAACACATGTTTATCTAAATGCTTGATTTTTATTTTAAAAAAAGTGAAGCAGAAAGTCATTATTCGGTATGCATAAGTATTGATGTTCAAATAGCAAAGTTTTCCAATTTGAAAGTCTTAGGGATCAAAATTTAAAGAAAAACACTTAACACTTAATTACACCATATGTCCCAAAGTCACCATGATTTAGAATCTCTGATCCCAAATGTCTTATCAGGGTCGGTGGTCAAGGGCTTTGGGATTGGGGATTCAATCTTTTGGAGGACCGATATATCTCAAGGAGTGGGGTTTTGGAGAAGGGTGGGGAGGGAAATTTATGATGACAATCTTTCACTTGTTTGAGAGTTTCGATGTGAAATAGAAAGAAATTGTTTTAGATGTGTTTTTATTATTTATACCTTTCAGAATTCAATGAAGGTTAAATTTTTGAGTTCCTTCAAATTAGGGTTTTGAGGGATTTAAATGAACATTTTTTAATGACATACTAGACCCAACATATTCATCTTAGTTATGTGACTATGTCTAGCTTTTTTTGGGATTCACCAAGAATTCAAAATCTATCGAGTTCTTGTCTTTTATATTTTTCTTCACGGGTCTCTTAATAATAAAAATAAAACGGTAAAAAATTATAACTGCAACATTAAAAAACATGCAATTTAGTTTTAATTACCACCTGAAGTGTGAAAGTGTCAACGATGTCAACAACCTTAATAGTATGGTCTTCAACACAACCTCGTCTTCTCCACCTTATGCTGACGGGTTTGCCCCAATATCGACATCAATACCATCCTGGACAACCCACTGTAATTTTTATATTACAAAAACAAAAAAATCCCGATCATCATCAATTATTAAATAACAATTTCATAATAAAAAAGACACAACATCCAATAAAATTAATTAATAATAATAGTAATCTAATTAACCTTTCCGTCAACTTCCCATAGAATCCCATTCTCAATTTCTTTGTAGGGGAATGAGTCTAGAGAAACTCGTCACCTGCCACAAATGGCACGATTACATCATATAAATCTCAAATGTCACACCCCAAGTTAATATAATTATGTTGTGTGGTAGCAGTGATCGGTACTTTAAATCAAGAAATATTAAGTAATGAAATTTATAAGCTAAATAGTAGAGAGGGTACGTACCGGATCCGGAGAGTAAATCTTGATAGACCAACATGATATGAAGTCTTTCTGGTTTTGTACTGTATATTCTTGATGGCGGAGATGAATTAAGAATTTAAGATGCTTATATGAAGAAGGGTAATAGGTTAGGCTATATGTAGGGCGATGTTAGGCAGTTTAATTGAGAGAAGTATGAGAGGTTGGGTAAGATACGTATCATACAATTTAATTAGAAGAAGAATTTCCAAATTCCTAATTAGTTTAGCTTGTAATAGTAAATTATATTGTACAGAAGTCATATTTGGTAACACAATAACGTTAGTGGTGCCCAAATTAAACCCTTAGCTTAAATATGTTTCTAAATGTATAATTATGAGTCGAGTTAAATATCTATGCCATTAATCAATTCGTTTTTGGCCACATATTTCTTTTATTAATTAATAAATGAATGAAAATTATGACTAAAATATAATTTGGTCACTAAGTAATAGTAGAAATACTTACTAATATATATTTAATAAAAATAAAATAAATGTGAATAATAACAATGTGACTATAGTTATTATCTTCAAATTTGAAGCAAGCGCTCCAATCTGAATCAAGACTGCATAAAGGTTGGATTAAACACAAATACATAATATAATGCAAGCCTAGAAGCAAACCACTTTGACTATAAGAACTATTCAGAAAAATCATTTAATTAGTCTCTCAAATATAAATGAGCATATGTATTTACCGAATGAGAGAGAGAGAGGCAATTTTCCATCAACTTGCTCCTTGAAAGAAACTCTATCGCGTTTTTGGTGTGCTTCGATCTGCGTTTTTATGATTCCCGCCAATTTGTTTCGCTGTTGATAAACTTAATATTAGGTGGGCGTGAGTTTGTGGTTTGTGCGGTTTGGGCACACATATCCCTGTTGTTAAAACTTGTTAAATCCACATCTCATTAAGGGTCCATTTGGCGAGTCATTACTTCAGAGTCTTATCATCTTACTTTTCCATCAAATACGTAATTTTTTATTTTACGCGCTGAATTGTATAATAATTGAAATAAATAAGGATGATGTTATTTTTCGGACTTAATTGGGTGGAGTTACTCTAGACACTTTTTAAATGTACCCATTTATTTAAGAGGTATGTGAGTAAAAAACTATTAAACATATAATTTATACTCCGTATAATTTATAAGGGCTCATTTGGTTAGGCTTAAATGGTTAAAGTTGGTAAATATAAATTAAAGTATAAAAAATCACATTTTTATCCAATATATTTATTTTAGTCATACATTTATCATTATTTCTTATTAAATATATTTTATATTCGGCGGATCCAAACTAATAGACCATTGACTTCATACCCTCAGGCCTGGGCGGCTCACCCGCGACCCCAGGCCAATGAGACTCGTGCTTTCACAAGTAGTACATAATCAGATCCAATGCATATAAACACAACATAAGTGTTTTTATGCATTTTGGATCCCTACCATTGAAAGCATCTCTCCACCACAAAGTACAAACCTTGCAACTTTCAGACCCCATCTCCCGAATTTCCTTTTTAAAAAAAAAATCTTTAAGAAAAATCATACTATTTCCGTGCACACATCAACCCCCCCAATTAGAAAACACTCCAAAAATAGTTATCTTTTTTGTACACCTCTTAATTCTGGTGTATATAGCTCATTTATAAAAATTCAGTGATCGTCTCCAATTGTTTGTGTATGCACACGAATGTACAAAAATGCATGTGTGTATACTAAGAATTACTCAATAAGAAAAGTTGTCAAAATCTAATAGTATGTGGGGAATATAGAATGCACTGTAATAGAATATCTAGAAGTAATGTGCTATCTTAGATGTTTTTAATTGGACTGAAATTCTAAAGTAGAGAGCGAAAGTTATCTCTGCGTTTGCGCGGCCTTTCCCTCACGTAGGGTTTAGTTTTTGCTAGCTGTTCTAGGCTTGTGCGGCCAGAGAATTTTTGCCTTGCGCATCGCGCAAACTTTATTTTTGTTCGCAGGTTCATCTTCAACTGCTTAACATGGCAATAAGAAATCATGAAGTACATTGTTAACCAGTACGACACTTGGCTACATGGCGGCTTCTCCTACACTTTTGATTGCTCACTAGCAAAGAATGTTATGAATAAGGAGAAAGGAGAGGAAGAAAATGTAGTATTGCCGGTCCATTCCCCTCCCGAACTGTCGCCGTGAAGGAATCTTGTGGTTAGGGTTTGGGAGATTATGTTTCAAGTTTTAATTTATTTTAATTATCTTGCCCTTATTTTTATTTTTGAGTTCGAAATGAATGTTGTTTTGGTTGTTTTGTTTATTTCCATTAGCAAAACTCTAGAGTATAGGTTGAGTGATGAAAGGGTTATTGCGTCCGTCATCGGCTCAACTCATTATAGGATCAACAAGTCATATTATTTTCTTAGAGTGATAAACTCTGAGTCTGGTTCGAGAGCAGATAGTCGGAAAGTAACTTTTTTTCTTTTTGTATCTTGCTTTAATTCCGATTATTCAATATAAGTCATTTTCTTCCCAAAAAAATTTGATTGAAAATTTTCTGATTTGGTCTGGTTTTCACTAATCTGCTAGTTGATTTGTGGTCTGTTAGGTGTCTGGTCTATGTGTATTTTATAATTGTCCAAATGTAATACTCCCTCCGTCCTATTGGACTTTGCCAACTTTCTTTTTTTTTTGTCCAAAATTTTTTGTCACTTTCCTATTAAAGCATCTAATTTGTGGTTCTGCACATTTCTCTCTTCTCTGCACAAATCTCAACCACACAGTTTTTACTATTCTTATTTCTCACCTACTTTGCACTTGGCAAAGTCCACCGGGACAAAGATAGTATGATTTAATCTGATCTGATCTAATGTGGTGTGATTTGAAACTGAAAAAAGTAAAACATTTTTAGAGTCTAGGGTCTGATATGCAAATTGATGAATTTAACAATGTACGAAGTACTCCTTCCGTATCATATTAGTTGCAACATTGAAATTTATACACTATTCATGTACACTACTTTAACTACATTTTATCTATTAATGTAACTGAATTATTTTTTTAAAAAAAAATTGTTGAATTCATCTAATTAGGAAGTTTCATAATTTGTTTTTTAATTTTTTTTACTAATAAGGGATTAAATATAATTATGGTGTGCATTGGTAAACGTGGAAAAAGGGAAAGTTGGGGGCACTAAAAAGAGAACTCGAGTATGAAGTACGAAGTACAATACAATGCCATCTTTAAGAACACTCCCGTCGTTTCCGTTCACCAGATTCGATTTTTTCAGGTAAGAGCAAAATATCCTCTTTTGTTTTTCGTTTTGCTCTACCTGAAAATTCAGAGTGGAGCATACCTAATTCTTTATAAATACGATTCTCAATTTCCGATTATCTTTCTTTTTATCATGTATATCGTATACTGCAGAATCCTTTTGCACACTCAAACTACTAAGATTCCATGATTTGTTGTCAGTTTGAGCAATTATTTCCCCTTTTTGTTGTTGGGATTCGTCGAAGAGAAAGTCCTTGATTGTAGTTCTGTAATATGATTTTCCCTTGTCCTGCATCGATCGACGGATTCAAGGGTTTAGCTTTCGGAGTTGAAAGTTAGGGTTTTTAATTGTATTTGTTCGTCATATTGTTGATGTGAATCTGCTACTAGGATGGAGAGTAACAAGGACGAGGCTTTAAGGTGCATTGGTATTGCCAAAGAAGCAATTCAATCCGGGAACAAAGCAAAAGCTTTGAAATTCATCAAAATCGCAGGCCGTCTTAATCACACTTTGGTAGTGGATGATCTTGTGGCCGCTTGTGAAAACATTGAGTCATCCGATCAAGTTCCTCTAAGAAGCAAAAGAGATGCTGGAAAAGCGAATGGTGAGAGGGATAAAGCCAAGTCGGACGAACCTTCAAACGGGAATATGAATTACATGGAAGAAAACATTCAATTGATTAGGCAAATCAAGAATGAAAGAGACTACTATGCAATCCTTGGTGTGGAGAGGGGTTGTTCAGTTGAGGAGATTCGAAAAGCTTACAGGAAGTTGTCATTAAAAGTTCACCCAGACAAGAATAAGGCTCCAGGCTCTGAGGAAGCTTTTAAGACAGTTTCCAAGGCTTTTAAATGTTTGAGTGATGATGAGTTGAGGAAACAGTATGACCTTACAGGTTTAGTTGGCCCTCAATTCGAGTACAACGAACCACAACGTAATAATTTTCGGCGAAGGAGGAGGAGAACAGTGGATGATTTTTTTGATGATAACATTGACCCAGATGAGATTTTTAGGGCATTCTTTGGTCAGTCAGACTTGTTTAGAACCACACATGCTTATCAGACTAGAGCTCCTGGTGGGCACCAAAGAGAAGATTCAGGTGGATCACGGTCTAACTTCACCCCCCTCCTTCGTCTGCTGCCATTGTTGCTGATTGTCTTGCTTGCTTATAACCCATTTTCCGAGCCCGAGTATTCATTGCAGAAAGGTTACTCCTATCAATTCAAGAAGATGACAGAGAAACATGTAGTGGAGTACTTTGTTAAGTCAGCTGAGTTTGACCGGGATTACCCTCCTGGCAGTGCTGGTAGGGATAAAATAGAAGAACGTGTAATAAGGGATTACAAGAATGTGCTTGGTCGTTACTGTCATATAGAACTTCAAAGGAGGCAATGGAATCGGAACTACCCAACTCCTCACTGTGACAGGCTACGGAGTTTTTCAGTGGCATGAAAGGTTAGTTGTTATCACAAGCTATTTCTTGATTTTTTTTGTAGGAGTGTTGTTTTTAGTGAGTTTGGTTCAGGCATATTTGGAACTTGAAAAATGCCAGGGAGTGAAAGTTTCTTTAGGGGTAAACTAAAAGTTGCTTTGAACTAATTAAATCAATTTTAGATATTGTTCAAACTCATATTTCTTACATAAATCTAATTGTATATAACATTTAAAAAGTTTTAATCAATTTTGGTTTTCCTTAACATCTCCCAAGTTACACAAAAATAACTATCTATTTGGGGTAGGGGTGGATCCTGGAAAATGCTTGGTAAAAGGTGGGAGGAAGAGAGAGAATAAAGTCTAAAGTTCGAAGGGAGCAAAAAATTTGGTTGCTATCGATAACACATTCTATAGTTACCAAAATGAATTCAAGTGATGAACCATTTTAGCATCTGTCTTCCACATTTCCTTTACCTATTCCTTTACCTATCATTTTCTCGGATCCAAACATGCCCTTAGGCGAAGTATAAGTAGGATCGGGTATGTTCATTTTGTGATTTTCCTGAACACATAAACATTGTAGCTTTTCTAGGATTCTTTCTTATGTATGCAATAGTATGATGAGCTCGTTTGGTAATAGGTAATACTACGCATGTAAAGAAGGTTTGAATCTCATAAAATTTCAGGAGCTTTTATATAAAAAATGTAAGTAAAGAATAATACCGAAACGGGGGTAGAAACTAGAAACATCATTTTCTCTAAGGGGAAATTCCCGAAATAGGAGTAAAAACATTTTTGGAATTTCAAAAAAAGGAGTACTATCTTTTTATTCACTAAATATGAGCAGTTATTGCCAAATTGGGAAAATATTGTCGTGTTGAAAGTCCACTAATGCTAAAATAGGATAATAATTCCTCTTATTTAGGGAATAAAAATATAGTAGTCATTTTTTAGGAATCCACAAACATTTTTACTTCTATTTGGGGCAATATCTTTTTTATTTAACGACTAAGGTTCGTGCCAAAAGCATACCTCTTTCTACTTTTTTCCCCATAAGTTGGTGTTGTTAAATTATTTGGCTAATAAGCTGAAAAGGGTATTCAACTGGCACTATATATGCAAGTAAATTCATTGGGCACTCCAACATGCTTACTATGGTGCACATTGGCGTGATAAACGGTGAACACTCTTCACCGTTTATCATGCCAACGTGCTCAGTTTGCTTTTGCTTCCTTGTTGCTCTTAGAGTATCAGAGTTAAATGAAATAACTGAGCCTAATTAATACTGTTGGTTTATGTGACTGATCAGGTCTTTCTGGTGGATTATGAGGAGCTCTAAGGTAGCAAGACTGGCAACAATTTCATCACATATGTGATCGGATGACATGGCGGGATTTTGCAGACAAGGAGCCCATGTCATTCACAGCATGGCAGGCATTGCCGTTGCTTATTTGTATGCCATTTCATTCGGAAATATACTACTGTTTTTATATTTATTATGGACTTGTACTCTATAGAATTTGCATAGATTTATTTAAATGGCTCAGACCTCTCTGAATTATTATAAAATAATATTGCTTCTTATATGTGCGTTGCTTATAATGTTGCCAGATTCAACCAGCTTCTAATTGAAGTTTCAATAGTTTCAACTTTCAAGTTCCCATAGCCGTACTATATTTCAATTCCACATTACGAGTATTAAACTTCACATTTCTATAAAAAGTAAGGGAGTGTTTGCCTTTGTTTGCAGTAAAAGTTGGTAGTGTTTTGAAAGAGGAGTGTTTAATAAAAAAAAGTGATTGTTGATATAATATTTGTTGAAGTACAAAAAAGCCCTCTCCTTCTTCTTTGGAAATCCCGCTCAGCCATCACCGTAGGCTCACCAGGGACGGCTAGCATTCTCCACTAAAAAAAGTGGACAAATTATTACATCTACCTATGGTTGGACTCGGGTCGGGCCACCTGGCCCGTGGACCGGCCCGGCCTGCTACTGTGCGGGACCGGGACCGGCCCGGTTCTCGGGTTCGGGTCCGGGTCAGGCCTAGGCCCGGGGGGTAGGGCAGGTCCGTGCTCGGGTTTCAAATTTGGTGAACCGGCCCGGCCGGGCCCGGGCCAAATTGATTTTTTTTATATTTTTTTTTTCATTTTTGGGGTTCCACCCGGGTTGGGCTTGATGGGTAGGATGGGTTTGGGGGGTTTGGGAGGGTGGGGTGAGGGGGGTTAGGAAAGCAAAAAAAAAAAAAAACCAAACCGGAGGCCCGGCCCGGACCTGGACCGGACCCGGTGGCTACCCGGGCCGGTCCCGGGTCCACCATTCCTGAACCGCCGGCCCGCCCTGACCCGAGTCCATCCCTACATCTACCATTCATCACCATTTTTCTATGTTTTAATTACATACCCAGGATGCCCAAGAAAAAGTTTGATCTGGGGGACCGGAGAAGGAATAGGTATCACGATGTGTTGGATTTGGCATCTCTCTTTATGAAGACAGTAAAGTCGGGAGTGATCATGGACGGATTTTCATTCTTTGGGTTGCTGTAGGAGGAAGAGTACTGTATGACGGCGGCGCAATATATGTATTTGAGGAGGAAGATAGTGATGCTCTAATGGGCAAAGTAGTGAGATGTTTCGACAGAGGTGAGACGAAAAAGGGTATTTTGGATTTAACACAATATATTTGCCATTATAACTATAGTTAAAGTTGTAGAGCCCGTTTGGTAACACTGAAATCGGCTGAATCGTCTTATTCTGCTGAAATTAATGAAGTTCTGGCTGAAATGACTGTATTGGCTGATTCTGCTGATTTATGAATAAATTATAAGTAAAATATACAGTATTGAACTAATAAAATAAATAAAAAATTATATGAAGAAATAGCTAAAATGACCATCTACGCTAACTTCAGCCAATACAGCAACAAAAGCAACTCCAACCTTACATTTTCTTATTATTACACAATTCAGCGTCCGCAATCAAAAATTACACGTTTCTTTAAAAAATTGACTGATAAGTTTGATAAGTCGAAAAACAAAGTCACCAAACGGGCTCGTAATAATTCATAGAAAAACCAAGAAGCAATTAGAAGGACCAGTATATCAACTTTTAGCTTTTACTCCGTAGCTTTTAAGTGCTTAATTTAAATAGAAATTTAAATAAAAGCGGTGTTTGATAACACCGTTTTTTTTTTTAAAGTCAAAAGTTGAAAAATGTTTTTTTTTTTTTTTCACAAACATTGCCTAACTCTTCAATATAAGTTAGTATGTACTATGTAGTATCAAAACTACTTTTACTTTTTACTTGATTTGAGATAAAAGAGGGGAACAATTGAAATGTCCTGACTTCATTTCTAGTGAATGTATAATTCAACACTTTTTTAAATCAGAAACTATAGTTCATCTTTGAATCTTTTATTACTAGATTGGGGTACTCCAATTTTCCACTAAAATGTCCTGACTTCATTTCTAGTGAATGTATAATTCAACACTTTTTTAAATCAGAAACTGTAGTTCATCTTGAATCTTTTGTTACTAGACTGGGGTACTCCAATTTTCCACTAAAATGTCCAGACTTCATTTATAGTGAATGTATAATTCAACACTTTTTTAAATCAGAAACTGTAGTTCATCTTGAATCTTTTGTGACTAGACTGGGGTTCTCCAATCAAATACATTTAATGGTGCCATGGACCACAACCATGGTCCAAGTAATGAACTATATGCGAAGCCTATTGTACGGGATCGGTGAATCCAACCCATTGATCGAGATCAATTGATAAGTAGTCGATGGGCCTAATAGGGGACTGACTTGCGAAAGGAACCCACAATCAAGCAGGCCTGGACGGCAGACCTCGAGCATGGGCGGGGTTCCAGCGAGGTCGGACTCACCCGAGGGCTTATGTGGCATGCTGGCTATTAAGCATAGCTATCTGGTAGCGACATGGATCTAACGGAAGAGACGTGAGCATAAAGGAATAGTAATTACAGAATAATGAGAGACATTAGAAGAGCCCTATCATGATTAAGTTTAATAAATGTATCAGTTATTTCTACTTAAAGTAATTGCCCCATAGTCCTAGATGTGCAATTAACTTTGTTATTAGTCCTATTTGAGTCATTAACTCTTCTACTTAGGCTACTGTACCTATATGTATATAAATACTCCATGTACTTATCCTAAAAGAGATCCACATCCTGAATAATAAAACTCCCTTACGTTGCCTAAATTACTTTATTTCCGTAGATTAGCTCTCGTAGTTGGAATTAAACTCTATCATTTGGTGCTCTCGTTGAGAGTCGATTTACGACAAAAACAATGATTGGATCACACAGTCACAACCGTGATGGCGGTAACCAAGGCGATGTTAGAATGAACCAAGTCATGATTGAGGATGAAAGATCTCGTTCACGGCGCAACGATTTCTGGAGGAGGAACGACAACATGTTGACCCCATGCGATTTGAGAAATCGTCTGCATGGCGTGGGGGTTCCAGGCACCTAAAGACATGGTGCCTTTCAAGGGCCAAATATTTCTGAGAGAGAGCCTACAAGAAGTCTTACACTACATTTTCTTCATCCTTCTCTAAACTTCTTATATCAATGAAAACCTTTTTCTATACATCTTAGAGCTCCATTTTCATAGTTACCGACTTACCGTCGTAAAAAACAAAGACCTAAGACCACTTGGATTGGTGAGGTATTAGGAGTCCAAAATGTTAAAAGTGGAATTTTTGGGCTCCTAAATCATTGTTGTGGTTGGCTAAATGAGGGAGTAAAAATGGAGAAGGGAATGGAGGGTGTGGAAGGAGGGAGGCTAAAAAAAGGGAAGAGGTGGGGGCAACACATGTGGTGCACAAGGGGAAAAAGAGGGAAAGAGGCAAGTGGGCCATGTGGCTATTTGGGATGTACCCTGGAAATGTTTAGGGGGATGATGTCAGGCTGACTTCGTGCTGATGTCACAGAGCACTCATTTTTAAAAATATTGGTAGATCCAACGGTTGTGATGATTTGGACACTGTTTGAACGAGAATAAAATTGATCCAATGGCTGAAATTAAAATCTAACGGTTAAAATAATTTATTTTTTTTTTCATTATTTTTAATTAATATTTTGTCCTAAAATCCTTTAATATTTTTCCAATGTGTTTGAACTCACTTCATCGAAAAACGTAAAAAAAATATTAATGAAATTTGTTTTTTTTACATCGAAATGGTCTTTTTTATTTTATAATTAATCAGAGAAAAAATTAAAGGAAAAACATTACTTATAATAATTTAATTAATGTTTTACTAAATTGATATGTAAAAAATGTGCATAGTGTATTTTATTGACGATGCTGGAAATTGGAATGCAGAGAAATATGAGTCAAAACACGTTTTAATATGTACGGAGTCCATTTTTGACAGTCTCCCACCACTCCAAATGGTGAAACAAGTAGGCACTAGGCATGGCATGGGTTATTCATATTGTTAATCATACTACGTACGAGAATACTAGCATTCTTTCTTTTTTATTTTATTTAAAGTAATTAACTTCTCCCCATCATCATGCATGTCTGCTTGTGTATTTATATTTTGTCCAAGTTATTTTGTTCTCTTTTGCATGCATGCTTTTAGTGTGTCGAGTGGCTTAGGAATTTTGTTGTTATTGTTTATTGATTAAATTTGCTTTCTTATGCATGCTATTATACATTTGGAGTGCATAAAAATGACCACTTGTTCAATACTGCATTGACATGTCATATAGGTATTAATGAATATCGGTATACCGAGTGTTAATTGATTTTATTGGACCTATTCACTATATACGTAAATTTCTAGACCATTCTAACTCCATTTACCATTTTGATTTAATTCCTACCTTTGACCTCCTAACCTCTTAACTATAAGATTTTTTGTAAAAATATTTATTAGTTAAATTGATCCAATTCACATACTCAGAAGAATAAAAGGCACAACTGTCACCCAACGGGTCCTCCGTCGGCAAGATGACCCTCCATCGGTCAGGAAGATGTCAACTCAGAATATGATCCAGAGGCCAGAAGAACCGGGTCTCCGTCGGCCATGTCTCCGTCGACCAGACCTCCGTCGGCCACAAAGAGTTCACAGAATCGGATTCCATACTTAGTCAATATACATACTTTGTACTCGGTCCAATAGAGGCCTGATGTACTCCTAATTTACCATATTTATGATCTTGTTTTGTCACACTTTTAATAATTTATTTTTCTTTTTTTAAATAAAAAAGGATTGATTTTTATCATCTTGAACATTTTAAGGTATTGCACTTGTTTTGGTATATTTTTGAATTTCAGGATAATTCGGGATGTAAATTGAAATTTTGAAAAGAAATAAAATTACTCCCGAGTGAAGACAGAAAAATCACCAAAGTGAAGCAGGTCCTTACTTTAACTCCGAAATATTTGTCAAGAGATCCGAAATATATTTCAGAATGAACCAAACTGTCCGCAATAAAATGTACCGGTTAACGGTTGATCAGTTAACTGATCAAACAATTAACCGGCCAAAATAAGTAAGTGGCGGAAGTGGAGCCAAAACTTTGGTTGACAAAACTATTCACTCATTTGTGAATAATTGAAGGCTGCCCATACGTATGAAGCTCTCAACTCTCAAGAAGAAAAGAAAATAAATTCATTGTATTATTAGAGGGACCCATGCAATAGTAATACTTTGAATTCCTTCCATAGAATTGAAGCTCCACATACGTATCATCTTGTTCATTGAGCAACAAACCAAGAGAAGCTACAGCAACTTTCATTTCAGGCTCCAAGCTATTCTAAAATTTCCTATATAAAGGACCATTCCGGAGCTGCAAAAAAAAAAAACACACCAAGTTCTGATAGAAATCATTCTTCTCTTTTCTTTAGTTTATACGAAGTATTAGTAGCCATATAATAAAAGTGATTCTGCCAAGAACACTTTCTGTATAGATTTCAGTTTATAATTCTCAGTTCCAGAATTTTAGCTTGTGATATTTGGTATTGAAGTTCATTTGGGTTTATCAGTTCGTTCAATCAGTTCCAGCTTAATACAAGGATTTCATCTTTTCTATTCCAGCCCATCTATGTTATTCATTATTTTATGCCTTCAGGTTCTTACTTAAACACTCACTTTAATTTCCTTAATCTGTTAAATTTATTATGTTTTTCATGAATTTTGCTTTTATTTTATTTACCGTAATTATGTGTAACTAAATTAAGTTTAGGCTTGGGCAAGATGTAATTTTTACTATTAATGTTCATATGATAATAATTGGTTAAAACTATTAATTGGTTAATTTTAGGAGTGCTGAGTTGAATATTCTAATCTGCTAAATACATTATATTGGGAAATGAATATTATCACGGGAGTGAAATTTCATTAAAATACTTTTTATTAATTCACCCACTAAATTGCTACACGGAAGTGTTAAGGAATTTAGGATAATTTGATTTTGTACTTTTTACTGTCTTAATAAAATTACTGCGGAAGCGGAATTAATTTAAGATAGTGTAATCAACTAAGTCGTGGGAACGATTAGAAGATTACCATTTGTAAATCTTTCACACATCTAAAAGTAACTAAGTTAATTAGTTAAATCTTTATTATTATGAACATCAAAATAAAATTACTCTTAGCCCAAGCCTAATTTTCTCTATCATTAATTGTTAAATTACCAAGTATTGTGATTTATTTTACTCCCTAGCAATTCCGCATTTATAAAAACAAGATAAAAAAAAATCTGTTCACTTAGCTCCATTGCAAAATGTTATTAATTTGTGATTAGCTAAAAATCAATCATTAATTCTAGTTCTCTTTGTGAGCCATTCTCTAGCGGAACGATACTCACTTACTCTATACTATATCGTTACAAGCCAATTAAAACATCATTTCCATTCACATTTTTACATCATTTCACACTACACATTTTGGCCTGTCACGATTTTGGCGCCGTTGCCGGGGAATGGCATAGTGTTATTGATTGATAATTAGTTAATATTAGTGTTTGTTATTATTTATCTGGAGACTAAGTTTTTTTTTTACCCGTTCTCATCACTTTTGCAAAAAAAAAAAAAAAAATCATTTTTCGTGCACTAATAAAAAAAAACTCTTAAAAAAGTGTATGCATACTCGCTCTCAAGGGAGTGAAGGACTGCAACCACTTAACCTTGATTTTGAAAAAGAATTAAGGAAAAGAAGAAAAACACGAACCCTTGAACTTAAAATTCCAGATCTGATCATGGAGGATTTTCAAAACAATCCCAATAATCCAAATGGCCAAAACCTAATTCCAAATCCAAATCCTACGCCACCTCAAAATACACCCGTTGATACTCCCAGAGATAGAAATAATCCTTTCTTAGGAGATCAAAGACCACCAGGATTTGAAAATTTCCAACAAATTCCTCCCCAAACACATCCCCAAATTTGTCCACCACATCCCTACCAAAATCACCAAAACCAACCTCCTCCTCCATATCCATACACTTACCCATATCCTTACCCACCTCCTCCATTTATGCACCCATACCAACCTCACCCATTTGGCCAATACTACCAACACCCACATAATCAACAAGATCAAGGGCAATTCATGAGACAACAACAAGGGCGAAGACTTCTTGATTATGTTGCAGGTGAAATTGAGCAACAAGACAGTATTCTCTATCCAGGTGTGGTGCAGCAAATTTTGAGATCAAACCAACACTTATCTCATTGGTCTCAGCCAACAAATTTGGCGGATCAAAGAGTGAAGATCTGACGAGCCATGTGAAACAATTCTTGAGAGTTCTCCAAACTCTTAAACTAAATGGAGCCTCTGTTGATGCTATCAGACTCAGATTGTTCCCATTCTCACTGAGGGATGAAGCATTGAGTTGGTTGAACTCTAAACCATCCGGTTATTTCAACACATGGGAGAAGTTGCATCGAGAATTCATGAAGGATTTCTATCCTCCTTCCAAGGCATCAAAAATGAAGAAACTTATCCAGCAATTCAGGCAACATCCACCAGAATCTCTTTACGAATCATGGAAGAGAGTTAAAGACCTTCAAGTTCAATATCCACATCATAATATGAGCATGGGTGATCTCATTGTCTCATTTTATGAAGGATTACATGATAATTCCAAAATTGTTGTGGATGCCTCTGCTAATGGAGCTTTCATGGAGCTTGATCCTGAAACAGGCAAAGAGATGCTTGAGATAATTTGTAACAACAGTGCATCATGGTATTCTGAAAGATCCACTCAAAAACTAGGAGCGGGAATTTATGAGGTCGACCAAACAACAGCTTTAACGGCAAAGGTTGATTCTCTCACAACCATGGTTCAAAAGCTCACAGAGAAACAATCATCATCAACTTCTAGCACATCAACAAATCCATCATCATCTTTAGCTCAAGTTTTGTTCTGTGAACTCTGTGGAGGAGGACATTCTGTTAAGGAATGCAATCTTCTTGAACTTACACAAAATGTTCCTTCTGGCCCCACAGTAGAACAAGCTGAAGCTATATATGGTAGACCCCAAGTACCATATCAAGGAAACTATAACCCTCAAGGGAAGACACATCAAGGATTCTCATGGAGCAACCCATCAGGTGCAGCAAATTCATCTTTTCCATCCAAACCAACACATCCAGGATTTCAAAATCAACAAGGATTCAGAGGAGGAAACCAAAACAACCAACAATTGAGGGGAAATCAAGGGTATCAAAATCCTCAAGGGTACCCACCGCAACAACAATTTTCATCACCTCCTCAACAACAACAACAATTTGTTGGAGTTAATGATTTCCAACAGATGATGCAAGGTATTACTAATCAATTTTCTCAACTCACCACTCAACTCAATCAAATTCAAGCTCACAACAAAATGCTTGAGAGCCAGATTGCTAGTTTTGCTTCACCATCTACTAGCAAAGCTCAAGGCAAATTGCCTGCCTACTCTGAACATCCCAAGGAGAATGTCAATGCAATCACTACAAGGAGTGGAAAACAACTTTCTGATCCACCACTTGTAGTTGAAAAAGAAAAGATAACTGAAAAAGAGACTTCACCACCAAAGGAGAGTAACGAAGAAGGTCTCAATTTCCCAACACAAGAGGGCACGAAAAAGGTAGTTCAACCATATGTTCCACCTTTACCATTTCCTTACAGAGCAAAGAAGAACACAATTGATGAGAGGAGGGATAAATTCCTTAAATGGATCGAACAGCTTAACACAACAATTCCACTTCTTGATGCTCTGAAACATATGCCTTCATATTCCAAATTTCTGAAGGAAATTCTGTCAAACAAAAAGAAGTTTGAAGAGAAAGCTACCGTAGCCATGAGCGAGGGATCTAGTGCTATTATTCAAAAGAAACTTCCAGAAAAATTGAAGGATCCAGGTAGCTTTACTATTCCATGCATTATTGGAGGGTTCATGGTCAACAAAGCTTTGTGTGACCTTGGGGCTAGTGTTAGCCTTATCCCTTATTCTATGAGCAAACGACTTAGTCTTGGTATTCCCAAAGCTACTTCGATGACCATTCAGCTTGCTGACCGATCTGTTAAGCACCCTGTTGGTATTCTAGAAGACATTCCTGTACAAGTTGGGAAATATTTCATCCCTTGTGACTTTGTCGTCCTAGACATGGATGAAGATGAGCGAGTACCTGTCATATTAGGAAGGCCTTTCTTGGCCACTGCTGGTGCCATCATTGATGTTAAAAAAGGTACGTTAATAATTGAAGTGGGGGATGAAAGGGTTGAGTTCAATATTTTCCAAATGGCGAGAAATCCTTCATGTGTGGAAGATTGTTGGAGGGTTGATATAGTTGATGAATGTGTGAGAGACTTCATGGGATTCTTTCACAATGATCCTATGGAAGCTTATGCTGTGGAGGAAATTGAAAAAAATCATGAGGGAGAAGAGTTAGTTGAGTGTGTAAAAAACAAAGAGAGCTGTGAAAAAAATCATGAGGGGGGGAAAGTGGACAAACTGGAGAGAGAAGAAGTGAGGAAGACTAATAGCACAAAAGAACCACCCAAAGTTGAGTTGAAACCTTTACCATCACACCTAAGATATGCTTATCTTGGTGAAAACTCTACTTACCAAGTGATTATTAGCACTAAATTGAATGAGGAGGAAGTAGACAAGTTATTGGTCCTATTGAGAAAGCACAAACAGATCATTGGATACTCCATCGATGATCTAATTGGCATCAGTGCTAACTATTGTATGCACAGAATTTATCTTGAGGAAGGATGCAAACCAGTTGTTGAACATCAAAGGAGACTTAATCCTAACATGAAGGACGTTGTGAAGAAAGAAGTTATCAAACTTCTTGATGCTGGTATCATTTACCCAATTTCGGATAGTAGATGGGTAAGTCCAATCCATGTTGTACCAAAGAAAGGAGGTTTCACAGTTGTTCCAAATGAGCATAATGAGCTCATTCCTACTCGCTTGGTCACGGGATGGAGAATGTGCATCGATTACAGGAAGCTTAACAAAGTCACAAATAAGGATCATTATCCTTTACCTTTCATTGATCAGTTACTTGAGAGGATGGCAAACCATAGCCATTATTGCTTTCTCGATGGATTCTCAGGATATTTTCAAATCATGATCCATCCAGATGATCAAGAAAAGACTACCTTCACGTGTGCCTATGGTACATTTGCTTTTCGAAGAATGTCATTTGGCTTATGTAATGCACCCGGAACATTCCAACGGTGTATGATGGCTATATTCTATGATCTTATTGAAGAAATCATGGAGGTATTCATGGATGATTTCTCTGTCTATGGGACCTCATTCGACTCGTGCTTGGATAATCTTGATAAAGCATTGACTCGTTGCCAAGAGGCAAATCTTGTCCTAAACTGGGAGAAGTGCCATTTCATGGTAACAGAAGGGATTGTTCTTGGGCATAAGATTTCATCCAAAGGCATTGAGGTAGATCCAGCAAAGATTGAAGTGATCGAGAAGTTACCACCGCCAACATCTGTTAAAGGCATCCGAAGCTTTTTAGGGCACGCTGGATTCTATCGGCGATTCATCAAGGATTTTGCTAATATTGCAAAACCACTCACAAGACTCCTATCCAAAGAGGTTGAATTTATCTTTGATGATGCTTGTCTTAATTCTTTTTGTAAAATTAAGAAAGCATTATGTTCTGCACCTGTCATTCAACCACCAGATTGGAGCATGCCTTTCATCCTAATGTGCGACGCCAGTGATTATGTTGTAGGAGCCATGTTGGGACAAAAACAAGGTCGTTGCATACATTCAATTTATTATGCAAGTCATACTCTCGATGATGCTCAACAAAACTATGCCACAACAGAAAAAGAGCTACTCGCAGTTGTCTTTGCCATAGAGAAGTTCAGGTCATATCTTGTTGGAAGCAAAGTGATAGTTTACACTGATCACTCAGCTCTAAAGTACCTGTTTGCAAAGAAGGAGGCCAAGCTACGACTTATTAGATGGGTGTTGCTACTGCAAGAGTTTGACATTGAGATCCTTGACAAAAAAGGGTCTGAAAATGTCATCGCTGATCACCTGTCCAGAATTGAGTCACACACAGAAAATAAAGTGATCAAGGAATTACCCATTGATGATTCATTCACGGGAGAATATTTGCTCTCCGTCAAGCACTTTTCTCCTTGGTATGCTGATTGGGTTAATTACCTGGTCAGTGGTTATATTCCTTCTGAATTTTCGTGGTTCCAAAAGAAAAAGTTCTTACATGATGCTCGCTCTTATTTTTGGGATGAACCACTATTGTTCAAGAGATGTGCTGATGGAATTGTTCGAAGATGCATTCCAGAAGATGAGTTTGAGGCTATACTTTATCATTGTCATTCATCACCATATGGTGGTCATTTCGGATCCACAAGGACGTCAGCTAAAGTCCTACAGTCAGGTTTCTATTGGCCTACATTGTTCAAAGATTCTCAAATGTACGTGAAAAGATGTGATCGATGCCAACGCACAGGATCTATTGGTCGCCGAAATGAAATGCCACAATCCGGAATACTTGAAGTTGAACTCTTTGATGTATGGGGAATGGACTTTATGGGACCATTTCCTAGCTCATGTGGCAATTCTTACATTCTTGTGGCTGTGGACTATGTTTCAAAATGGATTGAAGCGATTGCTAGTCCAACAAATGATTCCAAGGTTGTGATCCGGTTTGTGAAGAAATTTATTTTCTCAAGGTTTGGAGTTCCGAGGGCGTTCATCACAGATAATGGTACACACTTCTGTAATAAGCAACTTGAGAAACTTTTGCTCAAGTATGGTGTTAATCACAAAGTGTCTACTCCGTACCATGCACAAACTAGTGGCCAAGTTGAACTCTCAAATAGGGAAATCAAATCAGTCCTTGAGAAAGTTGTCAATCCCACAAGGAAAGATTGGTCCCTCCGACTTGATGATGCTTTATGGGCCTATCGTACTGCATATAAGACTCCTATTGGCACATCACCGTTCAAATTGGTGTATGGGAAGTCTTGTCACTTACCAGTGGAGATTGAACACAAAGCATTTTGGGCTATCCAAAGCCTAAACCTTGACTCCACTCTGGCAGGGCAAAAGAGGTTGTTACAACTAAATGAACTTGAAGAATTCAGACTTGATGCCTTTGAGAATGCCCGACTCTATAAGGAAAGAGCAAAGAAATGGCACGATGGGAGAATCCTTAGGAGAGACTTTTCTTCTGGAGATAGTGTGCTACTATTCAACTCAAGGCTAAAACTCTTTCCAGGAAAGCTGAAATCAAAATGGTCTGGACCTTTCAAAGTTATCAAAGCCTATCCATCTGGGGCAATCATTCTGGAGGGAAATGATGGGAGGCAATTTACTGTCAATGGCCAAAGAGTTAAGCAATATCATGAAGGAGATGACACAAAGGAGAAACTCACTGTTGATCTGGACAATCCTCCTTACGAGTAAAACACTCAGGTAATGTCGGGCACACGACGTTAAAAATAGCGCTTCTTGGGAGGCAACCCAAGTTTATTTCCTTACATTTGTATGTGTGTTTTGTTTGTGTGTTTGCATTGCATGATTTTTTCCCCCACCCATTTACTCACCCGCCCTGTATATATTTGTCACATCGAGGACGATGTTTCATCCTAAGTGTGGGGGGAGAATACGCATGTTTGTTTGTTTGCTTGTAAATTGCCTTATCACCTGTTTAACTTTCAAATCATGCATTCTATTCTTTCACATGGTATGTGGATTGTTGGCGGGACTTGTCTCTTAATAATTGGATTGAGAATCATAATTTTGAGCGTTGAGTAAAATTTTGGTCAAATTTCAAACTTTGTACAGACACAATACATCTCATGCACGTAAATGGTTATCTAGTGAAATTGTTGTTCAATATGTTTAAGATTGTGCAAAACAAGAGTGCTATGTGCTTTTATTTTCCTTGACATGATTTTCTGACTTAGCACATTAGGAAATGATATAGGCCATTTTTCATAAACCCCATATACCTAGCCTTACCCATGTGATAAATATCCCTTGTTCACCCCTTTGAGCCATTTCTTTTAATAAGCGTTATACGCTTAACCCTATTTTTTGTTATTTTCTTTCATGACAACCCGTTATATGTGAACCTTAGCCTAAAAGCCAAACACTTTCCATCCACCCTAGAATGAACTTGCATAAATCTTAATAATTTTAGAGAGTGTCATTCACCTTAAGGGAGCTTCATTTGCACTTTTGTAATTACTTAGTTGTTAATATTCATTTATAGGGGTAGTTGTTCTTCTTGTATCATCATTGTACATATTATTCTTGTAAATTCTTAATGTTAGAAGCATAAAAAAGCCTTAAAAAAATAAAAAAAAACAAAAAAAAAAAGAAAAAAAATATAAAAAAAAAGAAAAAGAAAAAAAAGAAGAAAAAAAGTGAACAAGGCTAAATGTCAATGTATATGCTTCTCTCTTTTGTATATTTTTCTTGTACATTAAATTACTCTTTTTACTACCCCTAACTGTTGAAAATAACAAGTGTTGTATAGATTATTGTCAAAAGCTCCTACTCACTACTTAGTACCTCTTTAAATTTGTTAAATTTATGTCAAGTTCATTTCTTTTGTTTCCTCATTAACTCCCTTCGTTCATAAGCCTTTTCCCACATACCCCATTATGACCCAATATGAAAAGTCCTAATTGATCTTATTTGTGTTTTGTCTGAAATAAGTTGATAGGAAAATCTTATTTTGCATAATTTTGCATGGTTGAACCAACGAAGCTAGATTCCATTTTCACATCACACACTTTGCGTTTGTTAGAGTTAAGATTTGACCAAAACATTTCAGATGATATGCAAAATATTTTTATGATTCTCACTACTCTTATTTTGTGACAAGTCAAGGGAATTTGATTGATCAGGTGGAGTGAAAGGAAAGTGTGCATGATTTGAAGGTTATACATATGATTTGACAATTCATTTTTGCTTGCTTGTTTGTGTGAATGTAAATATTTTTGCTTGAGGACAAGCAAAATCTTAAGTATGGGGGAGTTGATGTACTCCTAATTTACCATATTTATGATCTTGTTTTGTCACACTTTTAATAATTTATTTTTCTTTTTTTAAATAAAAAAGGATTGATTTTTATCATCTTGAACATTTTAAGGTATTGCACTTGTTTTGGTATATTTTTGAATTTCAGGATAATTCGGGATGTAAATTGAAATTTTGAAAAGAAATAAAATTACTCCCGAGTGAAGACAGAAAAATCACCAAAGTGAAGCAGGTCCTTACTTTAACTCCGAAATATTTGTCAAGAGATCCGAAATATATTTCAGAATGAACCAAACTGTCCGCAATAAAATGTACCGGTTAACGGTTGATCAGTTAACTGATCAAACAATTAACCGGCCAAAATAAGTAAGTGGCGGAAGTGGAGCCAAAACTTTGGTTGACAAAACTATTCACTCATTTGTGAATAATTGAAGGCTGCCCATACGTATGAAGCTCTCAACTCTCAAGAAGAAAAGAAAATAAATTCATTGTATTATTAGAGGGACCCATGCAATAGTAATACTTTGAATTCCTTCCATAGAATTGAAGCTCCACATACGTATCATCTTGTTCATTGAGCAACAAACCAAGAGAAGCTACAACAACTTTCATTTCAGGCGCCGCATGGAAGAAGAAAAATGAATCCGGAGCACTATTCTTCAATAGGAACTCAATTCCATCACCATCTTCATCACAAGACTTTTTGCTCCAAGCTATTCTAAAATTTCCTATATAAAGGACCATTCTGGAGCTGCAAAAAAAAAACACACCAAGTTCTGATAGAAATCATTCTTCTCTTTTCTTTAGTTTATACGAAGTATTAGTAGCCATATAATAAAAGTGATTCTGCCAAGAACACTTTCTGTATAGATTTCAGTTTATAATTCTCAGTTCCAGAATTTTAGCTTGTGATATTTGGTATTGAAGTTCATTTGGGTTTATCAGTTCGTTCAATCAGTTCCAGCTTAATACAAGGATTTCATCTTTTCTATTCCAGCCCATCTATGTTATTCATTATTTTATGCCTTCAGGTTCTTACTTAAACACTCACTTTAATTTCCTTAATCTGTTAAATTTATTATGTCTTTCATGAATTTTGCTTTTATTTTATTTACCGTAATTATGTGTAACTAAATTAAGTTTAGGCTTGGGCAAGATGTAATTTTTACTATTAATGTTCATATGATAATAATTGGTTAAAACTATTAATTGGTTAATTTTAGGAGTGCTGGGTTGAATATTCTAATCTGCTAAATACATTATATTGGGAAATGAATATTATCACGGGAGTGAAATTTCATTAAAATACTTTTTATTAATTCACCCACTAAATTGCTACACGGAAGTGTTAAGGAATTTAGGATAATTTGATTTTGTACTTTTTACTGTCTTAATAAAATTACTGCGGGAGCGGAATTAATTTAAGATAGTGTAATCAACTAAGTCGTGGGAACGATTAGAAGATTACCATTTGTAAATCTTTCACACATCTAAAAGTAACTAAGTTAATTAGTTAAATCTTTATTATTATGAACATCAAAATAAAATTACTCTTAGCCCAAGCCTAATTTTCTCTATCATTAATTGTTAAATTACCAAGTATTGTGATTTATTTTACTCCCTAGCAATTCCGCATTTATAAAAACAAGATAAAAAAAAATCTGTTCACTTAGCTCCATTGCAAAATGTTATTAATTTGTGATTAGCTAAAAATCAATCATTAATTCTAGTTCTCTTTGTGAGCCATTCTCTAGCGGAACGATACTCACTTACTCTATACTATATCGTTACAAGCCAATTAAAACATCATTTCCATTCACATTTTTACATCATTTCACACTACACATTTTGGCCTGTCAAGGCCTCATTGTAATTGGGCCTGCCAAGCCCAAGACTTGGGAGCCCACCCCACATTTTCTCTATAAATACTCCCCTTGGGGGTAGTTGTAGAAGTTCACAAATCATTTTATTACATCATTCATTGCACTTCTATCTCTAGCTCTCACTTCTCTCTAAGAGGTTATACTCTATCACGTATAATAGATTATTTTACTACAGAGTAGTCCCCCCGTCCCATAAAATTTTTCTCACTTTCCTTTTTGGGCCAATCCAAAAAATTCTTCCCACTTACCATTTTTGGACAATTTGTGTGGTTAACATTCATTTCACCTTTTTCTTACACAACAACAACCACACATTTCCACTTTATTCCACTTTCTTAATATCCGTGTCAAGTCAAAGTGGGAAGAATTTTGTGGGACTGAGGTAGTATAATTTACATAGCTAAAATACCTTTAAAAATACTCCCTCCGTCCCTTAAAACTTTGTCAACTTTCTTTTTTTTGGATGTCTCACTAACTTTGTCACTTTTCCCTTTTAAGTAAAGAATTTATGGTCTCAATTAATTATCTCTCCTCTGCACAAACATCTACCACACAGTTTGTACTTTATTAATCCTCGATCATGTGAGTCAAACTTGACAAAGTTTTAAGAAACGATGGAGGTAGTATATAAAAATTTCCGTTTTCTTAATTCATAATGTTTTCACTTTTACTTTGGACTTTTAAAATGTGTAGATTTTGAGGTTGTTACATCCATCATATTCAGGGGCGGATCTAGCTATGGGCCAGGGAGGGCCTAGGCCCATGCTAAAAAAAAAGTATGTATATATATTTATTTTGATATATTTAATGTTGTGTAGAAATGATATAAAAATAATAACAACCAAAAGCTTAACAAAAATGAAAATGGTGAGATGGTGGTAGATCATGTCCATGTTGGCGTAGTATCATGTCCATGTTGGCGTAGTATCAAAAAGTATGAGTGACAACATTTTTTGTTTTGCAAAGAGAGCATATCTTCAACTCATTAGGTTTGGAGGTGAAAATAAGTTCAATAATTATGGGTTTGAGGTGTTTATGTAATTGATTTTGACAAAAAATCTTATTCTCATAATATTTATTTTTGTCTTAGAGATTTATGTTGTAACATATGTTATTTTACACATGAAAATAAGTTTTATTAAATATACACTACATTTGTTCTTAAGTAAATGCAACATTTTTTGTTTTGCAAAGGAGAGCATATCTTCAACTCATTAGGTTTGGAGGTGAAAATAAGTTCAATAATTATGGGTTTGAGGTGTTTATGTAATTGATTTTGACAAAAAATCTTATTCTCATAATATTTATTTTTGTCTTAGAGATTTATGTTGTAACATATGTTATTTTACACATGAAAATAAGTTTTATTAAATATACACTACATTTGTTCTTAAGTAAATGCAACAGTTTACTCGTCACATTTGTTGATGCACAACTTTGATCAGTAATATACTTCATATATTATTCTCTATTAGTAAAAAAAATAAAAATAAAAATAAGATTTTGAAAATTTACAATAAGACAAGTTGAACAATATTTTAAAAAAAGTTATTAATTCATTAAAAAATAAAGTGTAATCAAAATATAATATATGAATAGTGTAAAATTCAACATGTTGCATTTATTTAAGAACATAAGTAATTATTTGAAGGAATACTATATTTTAACACTTCAATTCAATTTGGCTCCTGCTGAATGGCAATGCTAGATCCGTCCTTGATCATATTCACATTCTCAAAAACATCCCCGAAACTACTCTTTACTCCACTTGTGATATTTAAGATTGGACTATGAAGATAACAGTCATGAGTAAGAGTTTATCAATGGGAGAAGGGCCAAAAAGGACATCGAGGTTTTTAATGAATCTCGGATATGACACTGAGGTCTAAGGTGGACCAAAAAAACACAAATTAAAACTTTCCCTTCACTTTTAACCACCCATTAACTCTCCTCTTAAACGGCCGTTTCCATAACACTTCGCATAAGAAGACCCCCAAATTATATCTAACTCGGCGAAGGGCCCTGCTTCCGCGAAAGACACCCGCGTCCAATGTGAAGCCTGCAACAACGAAGGAAAAACTCGGCAAAGGGCCCTGCCTCTGGTTGTCCCTCGGTCAAACTTCAACAAAAGAAGGAAAAAGCTGGTGGGACCCTCATCCAACAGTCCTTTGTAAGGTTCATGACGCCTCAATCACCTCACCTCGGCCAAACGGATCTGTCATCCTCGAGCAGGTGGCTTCAATTGGGCCAAACAAAAAACCCCATTGGCCAAGCAAGGAAGACTCTTCAATCTTTCAGTTGCTTTCAGACGCCGTCCTAAGTTCAGCAAACACCTCACCTCGTCCAAACGAGTCTGTCATCCTCGAGCAGGTGGCTTCAATTCGACCAAACAAAAAAAACCATCGGCCAAGCAAGGCCCAGGCCTCAATCAGGGGAGCAGCTCAATAACCAACACCCATCGGCCAAGGAAGACTCTTCAATCTAGGTTGAAGAGAGGGTCTTCTTATGCTCAGTGTTGTTAGGGGGGAATTGGGGAAACGGTAGTTTAACGGAAGAGTTAATGGGTGGTTAAAAGTTTAGAGAAAGGTTTCAATTTGTGTTTTTTTGGTCCATCTTAAACCTTAGTGTCATATCCGAGATTCATTAAAAACCTTGGTGTCCTTTTTGGTCCTTCTCCCGTTTATCAATTGCTAGTAGTGATTCTCTAAGTATATGACCATTGTAATCAATAAAACAGTAGCCTCACAGAAATCCTTATTTAATTCTTTCCAAATGTTCACAGAGCAGCTGGCTAGCTGCAATACTTCATTTTCAGTCAAGTGATTCCTCATATTAATCTTTGTTATGTAACTGAATTTTGGGTTTTGAATGTATAAGTTAGGAGATTCAAAGATTTTTTCCATCATTTGCAATGGAGCCAAATATTCACTATTTTTTTCTTGAGGATATGATATGATGGAATAAAGCAAAATGATTCTAGTATATGGAATAAAGCAAAAACATATACTGTGCATGCTTCAAAGAGCAATTAATGCAAGGTGCGGCCCCACCAAACAACATTAAATGTGTAGTACAAAAAAAATCTTCAAACTTGGATACCCAGTTCGTTTTATCAACTATTGGCCTAGATCTTCACGCTGCTTTAAGATATGCATTGAATGGATTGGACGAATGCAACACCCTGTTTGAATATTTAAAATAATATATGGTTAGTCTTAAGAGAGAATTAAATGCATTGTACAATAAAATCCATAAAAAAGGACTGTGTTGTACGACCATGCAACAATTAGTTGTGATAAGTTAGAACTCATAGATACGTACTACTCCCTCCGTCCCTAATCTTTCTCCCTTTTCGGTTGGGCACATTTATTAAGATAATGAGATTTGTGTGGTGGAGAGTTGTGCAGAGGAGAGAGAAATGTGTAAGAATGTGTAAGAATGGTTGTGAACCACAAATTTTTTGCTAAAAGGGGAAGAGGAGATAATTTTGGGACGCACGAAAAAGGAAAGTTTGAAGATAATTTAGGGACGGAGGGAGTATAATCCAAAGGTTAAAAGACTATTCGATTACCATGCCCTCCTCTTATATTGCTATAAATATGATGCCTTTTGGACCCTCAACACCACACCAGCCCCATGAAAGTTGTCCTCTCATCATGGAGGTGGATCACACAAAATCCACATGCACTGTAAAGGCATATGAGTTGCCAACCCATTCAAAAGGAATTGAGATACCAGATGGTTTTGCATGACGAAGGGGTGTTGTTAGCCCTCTATAACATTTTTCTACCATGTATGATTACGCAGTTAATGTTTTGATGTTATGCGGTCTTTACGTTCAAATGTACTTTAAATGTGGCTAATTCATGCTTTAGTGAAAAATACATTGTGAGATAATAATATATATTTTTTTTCAATTCTCTAGAGTGGCTCTACTGGAAATGTTGTAGAAAAGTCTTCTGCCAACTTGGGAATTGAAAAGGTGTGCCCTATGAGGCAGAGGTATGAATAATCTTTATGAGCCCGTTTGGCAGCATGAAAATCGACTGTTTTGGCTGATTCTGCTGAAATTTATGAAATTCTAGCTGAAGTGGCTGCATTGGCTGATTCTGCTGATACAAGAAAAAAATATTTTTAAAATATATTTTATTAATAGAGTAAAGAAAAAATTATATGTAAAATAGCTAAAATGGTCATCTACAGTAACTTCAGCCAATACAGCCAGAAAAGTAACTCCAACCTTACTTTTTCGGCTTATTACACAATTCAGCGCGCGAAAGCAAAATTTACGTGTTTGGTAAAAAAGTTGGTTGATAAGCCTGATAAGCCGAAAATGAGGGTTGCCAAACGGCCTCTATATTTTCATCTATATAAAATAAGCATTAAAAATGTATTTTTGTATCGCACTAAGGCAACCTTTTTTATATGCAGATGGGTGAAGCGATTAACTTCTCAAATGCCTCAATGGGAAGTACCTAGAGGGTAGTGATTGTAGAATTGATCAACTAAATAAAGAGGAATCCGATTGACGAGTTTTCTACTAGTGGCTTTGGAATTTAAAGAAGTTGATGATTAAAGTAAAAGAGGAAAAAGAGTGAATAGAGAACAATAGAAGGATGATAAAAGAAGTAGAAGATAAAAAACAGTGAACAAGTTTCTAAAAAATTGTCACTTTAACAGTTTATAGAAGAAAACCAAACACATCTTACTTTTAAAAGGATGCTTAAAATTCCACCGTATCATTATACTATATTATTATGAAGTAATACTAGTATATCATTATACTTATTTTATTTTTTAACACCATATAAGATGTTAGGCAAAAAATGTCTATCAATATTTAATTATAGCAATGTATATTCATGAAATGCGATATTTTAGCTATCCTAATAAATTACCAATTGTATGTTTGTCAGCATCTTTTGATTTATATATTTAGTTTTGCAATACCTTGAACTTATTTTGTTGCATATAGTCGCATAGACCCGTGAAATCTTAATTTCTCACAAATCCAAACCTTCATACATAGTAAGCATAACACAAACAAATTATTTTTCTCAAAAATTCAAAGTTAACTCGAAACATTTTTTTCTTAAATTGCATACATTAATGTGTTATCCTTGGAACCTATTGAAAAACCTCAATGAAACACGTACATATACATTTTGCACATAAAGGGTTATATGTTGTCCTGTCTCTTCACTGATTACCATCTTCCCTCATCGCTCCCGTAGGTGTGTGTAGCCAACAACATGTCATGATGTCCATTGTCGTCGATGTCGTAGTCCTTTGTTGCGAGCTCCTTCCAGGGCACTGTGGAAAAAATTCTGATTTTCACCTTTCCGACTCACTATTAATCAAGATAAACAAAATTAAAATTAAATTTCAGATTTTGTTCAAAATGGAAAAGATTTTATGATTCAATTAGTGAATTTTTGCCATAGGTTTCAGAAAATGTCAGATTCAATGATCATGAATTTAATCTCCCTTTTTAATTTCAGTCTTGTAAAAAAGCAATTGTTCAATTTTTCACTACTTATGCTCTTAAATTAGGACAAACTACTTAAACAAATTTCATGTGAGATTATTTTGAAACCAAACACGTCTTACTTTTAAGGCTAAAAGGTCAAATAGGTATATGAAATAACTTAAAGTGTTCAATTAGCCCTTTATATAGAAGGTTCTGCCCGGCCGTCGCCAATTGGGGAAGTTCCCAGTGGATTTTTTTGATGAATTTTTTTGAGCATCTTCTTCATTAAGTCTAGTTTACTCATACCAAAGTTTAGCTAAAAATTCAACTGGAAAGGCAGTCAAATGAGTTTTTGAAGATAACTGCGCAGTTGAACAACGCAGTACATTTCGGAAAATCATTTGACTGCCTTCCCGATTTAAGTTTTAGCTGAAATTTGATATGGGTAAACTAGACTTAATGAAGAAGATGCTCAAAAAATTTCATCAAAAAACTTACCGGGAACCGCCGCAATTGGCGAAGGTCGGGCAGAACCTCCTATATAAGGGACTAATTGAACACTTTTTCATATCTCTTCTCCAATTCTTCCTAAATCCTATTCTTAACTCTCTACTCTCTAATTCTCTTATTCTCCAATATATTATATATCTACTCTCTAATTCTCTTCTCCAAGAAGTTAAGATGGAAAATCAAAATACCATTATACGGTATAATTTTGATAAGCAGAAGGACCCGAAGACCGGGATGTGGTACGCAATTTGCAAATGGTGCGAAAAAAAATGTATCATGGGGGCTTCAGGCGGATTCGGGATGGCAATCAAGCATATGAAGTCATGTGACAAAGCCAAAGGATCGGGAGGTGCGGGAAGTTCCGATTGATTACAATTTGCAAAATATTTATCTCTTAAAGTTTGTTTTAATTTTCAAATGTAGTTCCTATTTCATTTCAAATAAATGCAATTGAAGTTTGTTTTTAATAGTCGTATAAAACTATAAACTATAAAATATAAATTATAAAAAAAAAATTAACCGGCCCGAACCGGACCCGTCCAACCCTCGGGCCGGTCCCGGGCCCACTTTTCTTGAACCGGCGGCCCGACCGGGCCTAGGCCCGGCCCGGGCCCGACCCGGCCCGAATCCATCCCTAATTTGACCCTTTAGCCTACTTTTAAAAGGATGCTTAAAAATCCACCTTATCATTATACTATATTATTATGAAGTAATATTTAGTAATAATACAAACAAAATTACGGAAGGCATTCAATGAAATACTACCTCCGTCCCGTCGAATATATTTTGAGATATAATTTTAATAAGTACGTGGTATATATCATAATGTAGTTAGTATTGATAACTGTGATGTTAAAATTGTATTATTTTTAATAGTTAATGATTAATTTGTCACTTAAGATTGTTAATTGTTTCCTAAAATGGAAATGAGAACCTTTATATGGGACATCCAAAAAAGGAAAGTGGAAACCTCCTAATGGGACGGAGGGAGTACATTCCACCATGGGTTCTTATCCAGAAAAATGAAATAGAGTCCACCAAAAATTAAGCAGATTTAGTTAATCTCATCACATATTCTCTTTTTTGAAACCTTATGAATATTTGGTAAAATAAATAAATCTTGTAAGAAAAGTAATACCTGATCAACAGTTGAACACAAATCATACCACCACTCCAGCATGCACAAACAAAAAGCTCGACCGAGTCAAGCTTCTCCAAGAAGAAGAGTATGCACCTAGACGGATATCCATATTGATCTTCCCAGGCTGCCAACAGAAGAAGAAACGACCACCTTCACAGACATCAAAGGAGGCTCAGCGTTTCGCGACATAGACTGAATGAAGAAGAAGATGAGACGATGGTCGATTAAAAAGGCTGGTGGATAAATGGTTAGGCTGAAGGGTAAAAGGTTATTTTTATAGGAAGAGTTAGGTTTGGGTTGTTAGGCAGGTTTTAATTTAAGGTGTTGGGCTGAGTGGGATTTAATTGGACCATGTAAAACATGTTAGAATTGGCCTGTACAAATGGGTAGTTGTCAAAGGTTTATAATTTTATTAAGTTAGTTAATAATATTATTTTTCTATATATTCAAATTATGAATTTCTACAAATTGAAAAATATATAAAATATAAAATAGGTTTAATTTTGTTATTATTAATTATATTAATTAATACTATCCTTCGTTCTTTAATTCTTGTAACAGTTTGACTTTCACGTTTCTCAACGCACAACTTTAACTCTAATTATATTTAATTATGTATTAGTAAATATTATAAAAGGTTGATATTTTGGAAATTCACATTGATAGGAATTCAATAATATTTTATACGTAATAATTTGATTATGTATATTAGTAGAAAATCGTGGTCAAAGTAATGTCTGTGAATAATGTAAAAATCACAATGTTGCAATAATTAAAGAACGGAGGAAGTAATTCTTAATATCAAAATTATTGCTACCTCCATCCGTTTTAAAAGTTTTCATAATAAAATGTCACGATTATTTGAACAATAATTAAATTAGGTTATTCGATCATTTTTTCAAAAATAGTTTTGATAGTTTTTTTAAACCCGATAGATAAACCACCAAAATCAGTGGGGTGATTATTATATATACTATAATAGGGTGATTGAATGAAACCGAATACTCCCTCCGGTTCTTATTAAAGTTCTCACTTTCCTTTTTGGGATGTCCCTTATTTAAATTCACACTTCCATTTTAGGAAACAAAACAGTGCAAAACAGTGCCAAACAGTGTCCAAACAGTGCCAAACAGTGCACTCCACAGTAAAGTCAAATTCATTTTCTTAATATGTGTGAAGTCAAACTGGGAACTTAAATAAGAACCGGAGGAAGTATATAATAGAGTATTATTTATATGTTATATGATTATTACATTATAATGATAAACTATCCGAATATATTAATTAGAAATGTTATTATTGCTATTAATTGTTATAATTATTGACGTTGATTATTAGTATATAAGAAATTGAAAATATTTAGAGATTTTTCCGACAATGTTTTTCAGATTAAAGTCATGTATTCAAATTTGAGTAAATTTACTTAAACTGTAAGTTCATGACCACTAGAATTTAAAATTGAATATATTTATTAGATAGGTAAACTAGATATTTAAACGAAATTTACTTAAACCAGATATATTCATCACATATATTTATGTGATGAATATAAATAAGAATCAAGATCAATTTTTGTTACACGTTGAGCTCTTATAATACAAGTTCGTGTTTACGCATGACCAATTGTATGTTGCAGTATCAAGAGTAACAAATCGTAAGGGTTTGAAAATTTTGATTTATGGTGAAAGTGGAGAACAACCCGTCCATACTATCAATATTTTTTACAAGAAAGTGTTTTGAAATGTGTAGATTGTAGAAATCTTATTGTAACATTTGTTTATTTCTGCTTAGTCCAAAACATATTCACTACCGATGCATTAGTCCTAATAAGTCCTAACTATCGTTTCTTTGATTATAATTTTTTACATATATTACGTTTTTACTATTTTCACGCCTTTATACGTGAATTAATAATTTAAACCTTATTAACAAATAAGGACTTATATTTATTACTTTATTTTTGTCCCGTGCATCGCACGGGTGAGAATCTAGTGATTTATAAACGATACAGCGAGCAGCTTTCCAACAGTTTGATTCATTCCCAATCCTCTCATGATATAATTCTGCACATTCTTCTCGATCTCATAAAATTATGATCATTGATTAATGAAATGTGTATCTATTAAAGTTGTCCGTACATTACAAAAAAAATACGGGATTGACGCTTTGGCACGGATTTGACACAAATTTATCGATGTTTTCGTGCCAAATAACTCATGCCAAAGTGTTTTTGGTACAGATTTGATATTTTCTTGCCAAATCCTGTATAAAATTTAATTTGATGAACCCCAGTCGATCAATTTCGTGTTTTTTTGTAATGATACTTTTTCTTCTGAAATACATTTTCCAGCAGAAATTGGAGCGCAAAATTCATCGTTGGTGCATGGGCGGAGCTAGGGGTGAGCCAACCTAGGCCATGACCCACCCCAAATTTGAAAAATGGCTTAATTTTTAAAGTAAAAAATTTCGTGTAAATTTTTTTCTAAAAATATTCTTTGTACCGGCCCAGTCCGACTCAGTGTCCTAGCTCCGCCCCTGCGTTGGTGTATGTTTTTTTACCAAAAAACATTCCGGTGGATAGTTGTTTGGAGAGCATTGAGAAGTTACTTTCTAATTTCAAAGGATAGTTGTTATGTTTCATCAGAAAACTCTTTAATGCATTTGCACTATTTAATACGAGTATTTTTTATTCTCTGGAACACATGATCTAAATTATCAACCAAGAGCATAAAAACATATACTCTCTCCGTCCCGGATTTATCTTCATACTTTCCTTTTCGGTCTGTTCGAAATTTATCTCCTTATATACTTTTTCTTCTGAAATACATTTTCCAGCAGAAATTGGAGCGCAAAATTCATCGTTGGTGCATGGGCGGAGCTAGGGGTGGGCCAACCTAGGACATGGCCCACCCAAATTTGAAAAATGGCTTAATTTTTAAGGTAAAAAATTTCGTGTAATTTTTTTTTTCTAAAAATAATCTTTGTACCGACCCAGTCCGACTCAGTGTCCTAGCTCCGCCCCTGCGTTGGTGTATGTTTTTTTACCAAAATACATTCCGGTGGATAGTTGTTTGTAGAGCATTGAGAAGTTACTTTCTAATTTCAAAGGATAGTTGTTATGTTTCATCAGAAAACTCTTTAATGCATTTGCACTGTTTAATATATTTTATTCTCTGGAACACATGATCTAAATTATCATCCAATAGCATAAAAACATATACTCTCTGTCCCGGAATTATCTTCATACTTTCCTTTTCGGTCCGTCCGAAATTTACCTCTTTTTTCCCTTTTTGGTAAAGAATATGTGGTTCACAACCATTCTTACACATTTCTCTCTCATCTGCATAACTCTCCACCACACAAATTTCACTATCTTAAAACCTGTGTCCGGTCAAAACCGGAGTTAAATATTGGTGCGCTAAAATCATCGTAGGTGTAAGTTTTTTTACCAAAAAACATTCCTGTGGAAAATTACTTAACATAGGCACGTACATAAATTAGTGGGCCAAATTTAATTTTTTCTCGTAATTCCATAAATTCATCAATCAAGATAACTGAACTATTAAAAAATACTAAACACAAGTGTGTGATTCCAAAGTAAACGTTGTTGGTTGTTCACTCAGATTTGATCACAATAGAAATCATTTTAATATATACATGATCACAATCTCAGCGGTAAAAAACTTTTTTAATTTTATTTGTAACGTTTTATCGATCTAGGGGTGGGTGCGGTCAAGATCGGTCCGGGTAATTGAAAAAATTTCAAGAACCGCCGGTTCTATTTAACCGGTAGGTTCGGTCCGAGTATACCAAATCTCGAAATAGGAACCGGACCTTACCCGCCCCGTTTGAAATGGACAAGTTCGGTTCGAGTTCTCGATTCTTTAATTTTTGTAAAAAAATCCGTCAATGCTAGCAAAGTTTTTAGTGAGTTATAAAATTCTCAAACTAAGTAAGTATTAATGCAACCATAATATAATAAAAATTACAAATAAAAATATAAAACAACACTTTAAATTTGTTAACAAAATATCTAACAACAAATCTATAAATTTTATTCATTATTCATAAACTAAAATCATAGCACTATAAAGTCACAAGAAATTAAACTAGTTACTATACATATTTGTCTATGAAAACAATTAAATTATATAAAATATAAAAATATAAGTAAACATAAGATAATAAAACAAATATGTCACACTTTATTAAGTAAGTGTCTTTGTTTACAATAAAATATTAAAAAATAGTTTAATTTGATGCATTGGAATAAAGAATTGAGGACAATATTTTAGGAGATTAGATGGACTTAGAAGCTCTTTGTAATGGTCAATTTGTTTAATTGAAAGTCTTTGTCTAGACACAAGAACATGAAGATCTTCCATGGTTGTTAGTACGATGGTATATTATACTCCCTCCGTCCCTTATAACTTTGTCAACTTTCCTTTTTGGATGTCCCATCACTCCCATTAACTTTGCCACTTTCCCTTTTAAGTAAAGAATTTGACAAAGTTAATTCTATCACCTCTGCGTAAACCTCAACCACACACTTTTCACTTTATTAATTCTCGTGCCGGTCAAACTTGACAAAGTTATTAGGGACGGAGGGAGTATTAAATATAATAGAATTTATTAAAATAATATTTTAAAACGGTTCGATCTGGGTACCCGTTGTTTCAAATTTTAAGACCCGTTCGGTTCCTAAATTTTTAAGAACCCGCCCCATCCCGTTTGAGTTTCTAAAATTAGGACTCAACCCTAACCCACCCTGAACTTGTATTACCCGACCTGACCCGTGGATCCTCTACCGTTTGCCCACCCCTAATTTTATCCTTAAATGGTTTGGAGTCGTGGAATAAATTTTTCTTTCCACAAATTCCCCCAAGTTTGGTTGGAGTCTTCACGGAAAATTAATTAAATGCCGTTTTGTATTGATCTCTTTTGGGTCAATCTGAATTTGTAAAAATCCCAATTTCAAGTCAAATTTTGTAGAGTTAAATTTTTGTAGGTCTTTCTTATTTGGAACCCCTCTGGTCAATATGAATGGACAATCACCCCTTTTGGATTAAAAGCTGCCTCTTTAGTATTCTAAAGAATTTTGAATGAAATTTCGAACCCATTCTCGATATAGGCAAAAATGAACAAAATTCGATAAAAGAAACCAAATATGAATTGCCTTAAGTGAAGTGAGAAAGAGATGTGATGCATATAAGATCACACATACATGCTTCTTGC